GATTATCGCTCCGAGCATGAATATGAAACATCAGGCAAAAACAGTTCGCGTTTCAGCGGTCACGTACACCTCCTATCAAACGCTTCCTGACATTCGAACTTCCCCCTTTTCTCGGCAAATGCAACTTTGATTTTAAAGTTTTCATAAAGCATATTGATGGTGAGGTGCGAGCTTTGCTTATGCTAACCAGTGTGCATTGGTAAGGACTCAAAACGTCCTACACAGAGTTTTGCCGTCGCTTAGTTGCTGACTTCTTAGTCTTTATCAGGCAATGATGCTCCGGACTCAAGTGCCTACACGTCCGTGCTCTCAGTCTTGGTTCGGTGTATAATCAAGAAGTTAGATCTAACGCTCTACCTACTTATGCTCATTGGTTCTTCAGAGGCCAGGTCAGAATCGTATTCGCCGACCTTTCTCAGCCGCAGTATAGGGATTTTAATTTCGATGTTGATTCAGTCACGCGGTCCGCAATCTCATGAGTTTTTGCGTCGAGACAGTATTAATTGCCTGTGAGCAGTACCTCGGTGTTTAAGCCAAGGGGAGTCCAGGCTCCGGCTCCCAAATTTCTCAGCTAATGGCCTACTGGTCCCTTCTGACTGTCACACGGGACTGTCCGTGATTATTTAAGGAAGCTGGGATAAAGAGTCCGTCTGAGATTGATCGCACTTTCGAATCCATGTCGCCAATCCTGCAGTGTACTGGTGGAGCGTCTGGGGACTGTTTTTCGAATTGCCGTTTTTCGCCTATGTTCCCTCACCAGCCAGTCATACTTTCACCTGAACGGAGCCCATCTAAGATTGGAAACCGCGCATGAACTTTGGGCAAATGTACTTCTATTTCTCGTTGACTGAGAATGTACTGGTCGTCAGTATATCTAAAGGAGAATCCATAATTCCTCAGACATTGTGCGGTGCCTGAATCTTCTGCCACTCTGAGGCCCACATTCGTTGCTTTCGCTGTTGTTTTAGAGGCCTCCGTGTCGACTGTGGGACCTTCTCGAACACATACGACTACTGCAAAAGGCTGAATGCGATCAGGGCAGTTAAGGATACCCAAAAACATCAGACTCGGCAGTTATTTTCTTTTACGGTCGCCTAATCCTGAGCCCACGTTTTTTTAAGGAGAGGCATGCGAGGAGATATCAAATCTGCTCAAATTAACTCGCGATTAGCTAGCGCTGATAAACCTGCTGGTAGCTTTAAAAAACCCAACTTCACGTCCAACGAGATGCGCGCACCCGCTTGCCTGGTGTGTAGTGAACTGGTCGCGATGCCGTGGGGTTTATCTGATCAAAACGAAGGCGACGATGACCACATCAAAATCCGCCACGTTCTTCGTAGATGTTTTTGAACACGAAAGACCTGTGTTTTGCAGCGTATACTCTGTGTTTTTTCTACAAATAGCAGTCCGTCATGCTGTGACCATACGCGTTATCCGTTTCTATCGGTCCCCTCTTTGTCGGAGTCCTATCCAACCCTAAGGATCATAGAGGCTTTGAAGTAAGAGAGGATGATTGAGTTCTCAAAACGCTGCATTGATTCTTCCAGCACCTTGCCAGTATACTAGGAGTGACAGCAATTCATCTTTACATTAAAATTTTGTGACAGCTTCTTAGCCTAACAATACTCCCGGCGCATGATTTCATTGTCAAGCGTTAATAAAAAAATGCTACCGAAATTATGTCAGTAGCGTGTTGCATTACTATAATGAATACATCATTTGGCCTGTACTTCTTGGGATTTGAGACGTACTGTTCGGATTTTTTCGCATGAGGTGGTCTTCTCTAACTCGTGAACTTGATCAAAAAGCCGCGGTGGCAATCAGTCTTGTCCAATGCTAGCTCGCTA